TGTTAAACCATTTTGTATAATGTTTAACTACGAAAGATTTAACTCGATCAATTTGTTTATATTCTTTTAATGCTCAATACTTATTATTTAATACGGGTTATAATTACGGATATTGTAGTTTTTTCTATTCATATCAATAATTTTGTATCAATAACTTTATATGTAAAATGTGTAAAAACACAAAGAAATATGTTCTCGATAATAAAAGCGTACATAAAATTAAGTATTTAAATATTACACTATAAGAGTGGTGCGCCAAAGTTTCGCAATATCAACTTTCAACCTATGTCACATTCTGTTTAAACTTTATATTTCCCATGCTTTTCTATTCTAATAAATAAAAGTAATTATTCATTTTATGAATTCAAAAGCAAACAATATGTTTGACAGTTATTTTTGCAAGTTAAAAAATGACGAAACTCCTGGGTTGGACGAATTTAAATTTAGATAGACGAAAGAATGGTACTGATGTATTAAAATTTTAAACTTGAGATCAATGTTTGATTGTTCAAAAAAAAAAAAAATGATTCCGAGTAAAAATGCGGTGGTGAATTAGTTTATAATTTAAAATAAAGTTGGTACAGTAGAACTTATATTTTTCATCAGATAGATTGAGGTAAAATTTGGGAAGATTAAATTTTCAATTGTTTATAAGCAGCAAAATTGTCATTGTAATATTTCGAAACTATGAAATGTCTTTTAACTAAACAACTTTATATTCGTTTTACTGAAATTTGTTTTAATATTGGATTTTTTCAAAGTTTTGTAACGTTTATAAAATATTTTTGCGATTTTCCAATATTTTTTTTTTACCCGGAGAATATTATAGAAAAATTTTAAAACCAATTTTTAAGCCTTAAGTATAAAAATTGAGAATGTTATTAATTTATAACTGCGAAAATATTTCGGATTTTTGTAAGTTTGTTTTGTCCAAATTCAATGGTGAACTGCTAAAGAAATAACTGTTAAGAATTGCACAATCTATAGCAAACAGTGATATAAGCATTCAGTAAAAATGTTAAGTTTCTACGAATAATATTTTTTGAGTTTTGATGAAAACAATAATTGAATTTGGTTGAAAATTGTATGTTGTATCCGTGACCGTTTTTTTTTGTAGTTTTTTTGCCTGAATTTTACAATTAAGAAAATTATTGGGAATTTCGAAAAGTGATCCTCTTTCTAGGTACTAACTAAACAACATTTTATCAGAAACTTTTTTTGATTTTGATAAGCAGAGCAGTTCTGGTTATGACCGTGTATGCAGACGCAAAAAAAAAAAAATAAATAAAAAATTACATCATGGTAAAACCATTACATTCGTTGTTTCATTCAGAATCTTAAGTATCCTATGAAAAATATTAGATAAAAATAACGTGAATATTCATTCTGATAAAAATAGTCAGTAGGAGCTCTCCTATGTTTTACTATCCTCTGTTCAGCATTTCTAAAACTGTGTTCCGTGAAAGATCACTTTAGGGTTCCGCGAAGCTTAAGTAATTTTTTTAAAAAATTACTTTAAAATTTCCAGGTAAAGATTAGTAATGGTGAAAACTGTTTGTATTATAGAATAAAAATCTTTGTATATTAAATAACAAAGTATAAGCCTTATGGAATAATCTAAATTTATATTTAGTCTAATTAAAGTAATTATTATTAAAGTATTATAATATATGTATACAATTATTATTATTTTAATTTTAACATATTTTTTGAATTAAATACCTTTAACACAATATTATTATATGATTATAATTTATCTACAAATAATCTTGAAAAAAGCTAAAAAGCTAAAAAAAAAAAAAAAATAGGTGTTGCACGATAGATGTGGACATGAAAAAGGGTTCCACGGATAAAAAAGTTTAAGAAACGCTGCTCTAGTTGCTTGCGATTTTAATACCGAGTTAAATTCTATGGTATTGTTAATCATGCACGTGTTGTATAATAATAATAATAATAACATGAAGTTGCAGGTGACACCGAACGACTTGTTCAGAACCGACAAAAAGGTAATCAACTCATGTCGGTCGTCCAGACGGACGAGATAATGCGCGTCAAAAAAGCGAGGGTGACGCAGGAACAGAAGGAAGATTGGCAAAAAGAATTGGAAAAATAAAAAAATAATTACGATTTAAAAAGTTGCGGACGCGTACGTTACATCACTCGCACGCGTTCACGTACACGGTTGGGAGAAGGGGAATCGACTCGGTGGCCACGGTCAAGAAGAACGAGTTATCCTCGAGTCACGCACGCACATGAATCGGCTTACGAGTTAGTATAAATAAATGTTGGTAAACGGATAGCATACATAGTAATGGAAGAACAAGTAGTAGAAAAATTCGAGAAGTAATTATAATCATGTGTTTAATGCAATGCACGGCAGTGAGGTGTACCGTACATTTCGCAGTTTCGACTTGACGTACTTTTAACTTCTTTTCCGTATTTAACTTGCGACTTGCTCACGTCGCGCACTCGAAATAAAAATGTTTTCGCTCTGTTGCTGGTACCACGCGAAAACACCCGTTTTTCTCGTCGGTTTTGTAGGTGTGCAATGTACACGTCACGAACGGCGAACTGTTACCAATGTACACACGTATCATCGTATATGGTATTTTAGGCTTCGTAATGTATGCGTATGCACACTCATTGCACTCGTGTTTCGAACGCACTCGAAACCCGTGAAATTAGCATACTTGCATTTGCACGCCAAACGGTCCGATACGCGGAAATAATTAGTACTGAAGCCACGACTTATTCCATTCGTGATTCGGCACTTTAGCAATAACCGGAAAAGTCACAACATTGTTAAATATTTAATGCACAATATGGTAAATCAAGTTTTATTAGTAAGCCACACTTGTATCGGTAAAATATAATAAACCGATGATTGCAGAAACGTCACAAGTCATATAATTTATGAAATTGAGATATTAGTAAAAACGTATACAATTTATGTGTTTCTATGTGTAAAAATACCGATTATTATTATTTATTTATCTGATAGAAAGAGTATAACTAAAGACGTTTTTACACTCAACGCATAGAAACACATGACTAGTATACATTTTTTTTTAATATCTCAATTTCATAAAATATGTGACTCGTTACGTCTCTGCAATCATCGGTTCATATAAAAACGCCGTGTTATGAAAAAAAAAAAATTATATTTTTCCAAAATAATTTTATATCCGATTTATAGCAATAATTATTATTAATTATTACGATACAAGTTCTGTTATTTCTTGCAATCGATTCGGTGAAATCCCCGATGTCAAGTATTAAACGTCATATATCCGAGTTGGATCCATTCGGGACTATGCAAATTTCATGGTTTCGACCGAAATTCTTTTTCGGTATTTTTTTATCGTAATTTTTTATTTTTTCTTCCCAATAAAATTGTTTTCTGTCCATAACAGCTGTGAGTCCATGGGGACGGAGTTGAGGAATTCTTTATCTATCCTTAACTTTTATTTTTTAAATTTTTTTTTAAAAATAAAATCTACAATCTATACAAAAATGTATACATAACAAGTAGGTTTGATATAAGCAAAGAATACAATGAAATGTGAGTTATAAAAATTAGGAAATTACCTAGTGGTATCACTGAGAACGTGTATTAAATTACTTAGAGATGCTAAAGCATAAGGTCCCTACACCATTTTTTCTTTAATTTTTGTTTTAGGCTATCGGGTAGTCTATGTAAAAAAAGATTAATGTAGCTAGTCTGGAGATAAGTTGTTAGCGTGAGATAGGAGATTATTATGAAATCTAGAGTTTTATGTTTCAACGATTTGATTCAACGTTTGAACTTTGAAATTTTTGTGAAGGTTATCGTTAGTTATGTATCAAGGTACAAAGAAAAGGAGGCGGAGACTGATGGATACAGACAGGTTTATTTTGCAACGGATAGGTTGTAAAATGATTTTTAAGTACTCGTGTTCTACACTGGTGATTATTATTGAACACTATTTTTTTTTTTTTAATGAATACACTAAAAATTTTTATCCAAGCTTTATTCATTTTATGTTCTTTCAATATAATTAATATTATTTACATTAAAAATCTAGTAACTTATTTTGATGCTTTTCTAGTGATTTTATGTTCTGTTTTATTTGTTTGCTCAATCCGTAATAAATTATATTTTAAAAACTTACCCGTCATTTTGAATGATGCGCATTGACACAAATAACAAAACAACTCATTCAGTCAAAGTATTTTGTTATTTTTACGCATTGTAATATAAATCGTAAAATTGTAACACTAGTACAGTGCATGGCTCGCAACAATTACAATCACTGCATATAATTAAATTACTTATTTTTATAGACGTACTTAAACATTGATTAAAATGCAATAAATACTGATCAGTATAATACAAATTACATAATAATGTAACTTTGTGTCATCTAAGATTTTACGTAATAAATATTTTGGTGTTGTAAAGATACTTATTTTTTTTAAAAAATCGATATCGAAAGCCCGTAAAACGATTTGACTAACATTATTTTTTTTTGATTCCATTACGCAATTGTTTATAAATCCATCGTATTCTAACGACGATTTACTGATTGCGATACCTTCTGTAAAATTATATTAAAATCATGTTTATTTTTAAAACTATTTAATTATAAACTATATTTATTGATTTTAAAAAATACCTACTTAATTTCATAATCTGGATGATTTTTATTATCATTTATAGTAATATTTAATATCGTTTATCTTTTTTTTTTTTTTTGTATCGGACGTGCTGCACATTATTGAATTAATTGAGAATTCGTACAACCAGGTACATTTGTTTCTTTTCTTACGTTATTTTCGATTCAGTATTTAAATTACTATTATGAGTTCAATAATAAATTATTTAACAATGACTTGTTTAAGTCTGAAGGGAGAGGGGGGCATTGTTCTAATCCCCTCCGCTTTACCCCTCGGATCCGCGCTATCGACGGCGACTGTGGTGAGGGAACGCAACGTGTTAACGCAACATCAGTCGTGCCGGTCTAGTCGCGACGTTCGTACGTCGGTCGGGCCTTAGGTCCGTGCGTGTGTCTCTAATTATTATCGGGTGCACTCTCGCCAGTAGTCGTCGTACGCACGCGTGAATCACTCGTTTTTATAACTGTTTACGATTTTTTTTTTTTTTTCAATTTAAATTTTTATACGTTTTTTCGTGACCGACGGCGAAAATATAATAGTTTAATTAAATTATAATATAAATAAATATATAGGCACAGTGTAAGTTTTGTGGCGCCAGCCGTACGTTATTGTGTACCGACCGACGTGAATAATATTGGAAACGTAGTTTGTTGTTTCGATACCAACAACAGGTTGAGCGAAAAAAAAACGAAAACATAAAAATAAAAGTAACGCACACATTTTTAATACATTAATAATATTAATAATAACAATAATAATAATACGTTGCAATGATTAAAAATATTTGAACTGCTTGTATAATGTATTAGTATTTCGAAAATATACTTCTCTTTAAATACTGTGCAATAGGTGTTCAAACTTAACGGTATGTACCATATTGACGGCACAGTTTTAATTTTTTATGTTTGAAGTGATCAGAAACATTGGAAAAATACATATCAAAACTTAAAAAAATCTATTGATTAGAAATCATTAAGAAGAAAATAGAAGAATCGATGTATAGATATATAGAAAAGATTCGGTAATAATAAATAAATCACCAATAATTAATCGATTACAATTCGGAATTAACATTGATATTCAGCTTAATAATTCTTTCGTAAATTGTAAGTATTATTTGCAATGTTTTTTGGAAACAAATGATTTATTGTTATTTATACTACGTTTATTTTTATAAGCCATTTAAGTCACGAGACCGTACATTATTAATTTGCATATATTATATTTATATGATCTATAGGGCTAAATAAAATAATTTTGTTTTCCTCCATACGTAGATCTTTAATGCACTTGTGAGTCGATTACCGTCATTACTGTATACGCTTATTATCTTAAATTCAGTGGCGGATCCACGGGAGTTGTTTTGGGGGTTAAAATCCCCCCAACATCACGAAAAATATATATTAAAAATCAATAATTTTATGAATGAAGAAAAAGATTTTTTTTTTTAAAGTTTAAGGCAAAGTATATAAATTTTTTTTTATTCGTACAAGAAGTAAATTGTCTTAGATTTAAATAAATGTATTATACTGCTGACTATTAACTTAATTAAATTATTTCATACACTTAAATAAAATTTTACAATAAAATTAAGTTTTGAATTAAATTTTTCTTGTTTTTTTGAAAAATTCTTCAAAAACCTCATCAACTGATACATTAATATCTTTATGAATATTCATAGAAGCTAGACCATTGAGCCTTTCTTGACCTGTTGTATTTCGCAGATAGGTTTTGATTCTTTTTAAACATGAGAAACTTCGTTCAGGCGTAGCTATTGAAACGGGCAAGAGTGCCATTATACGTAAAATTTTGAAAACATTGCCAAAAGACGTTTTGTTCACTATTTGCAATGCTTCAAGAGCATTTTGAAAATTCTTGTCTGAAGTTCAATGTTTCCACATTTTTAATTCCGCAAGAAAGTTTTGTTTTGAACAATCGACTACTTTTTCATAGAATGCGAATAATTTTTCAGCTTTTTTTTCGTCAAAGTCATACTTTGGAAACAAAACACAAAAATTATCTAAAACTGATTTATGATCTAAAAACCGACTTTTCAAATGAGCAATATATGTGTCAAGAAAAAAAATGTAAAAAGCAATGCGATAATATGCCTCGACATCTTCAGTTTTTAAATTAAAACGATTCATTTGGCGATTATTGTACCGCGGTACCTGGATTTCTGTACCTAAGTTGGAGCATACTTCTTTGACGTGTTCAAAAAGTAGATGAAAGTTTTTTTCAGCATCTTGTCTCATTTTTTCAAATTCCTTTGAAGCGTCGTCTGCTAATCTCATTGCTTCTGAAAGATCTTGATCAGACGATTGTATTTGACGACTCAGAGGCAGAATCACTATATGTACTGATTGCATAATGAAGCAAGAAATTTGAAATTCTGCCGCTGAAATTGCAGTCAAAAGCTGAGAAGCTGAAGGTGAAGTCTCTGAATCTTTCCAAGTTATTATATCTTCAAGTGCTCTAATTATGAACGGATGTAATCCAATATACGTTGATACGGCTTCATGGCTTTTAGCCCATCTTGTTGGGCATACAGACTTAAGCCTCTGCTTTCGACTTTCATTTTTAATTTTTTCAATTTCGCTTTTTAAAACTTCCAATTTCTTAGGCCAACGAAAAAAGTTATGTAGAGATCCAATAGTTCCTAGAGCATCCTAATACCAACAACTTCGCAGGCTGAATTAATTGCTAGATTTAAGCTATGGGCTGCACAATGTACATATATTACTAACTGGAAACTAGATTGTACATATGCCTGGGCTCCATGAAATTCACCACTCATAGCTGGAGCTCCATCATACCCTTGCCCATACCAAAAAGAGCAGTCTTTACCTATTTTTAAAAGATAATTGATTATTGTTTTTGCCAACTCTTCACCTGTGGTTTTTGTAATGGGAACAAATGCCAGAAAATCCTCTCGAAGATTTAATGATTGGTCAACGTACCGAACACAAATGGTAAACTGATCAATTCCCGCAATATCTGTTGTACCATCCGCTAATATTGAAAATCCTTGGGATTCATTTATGTTCTTAACAATATACTTTATAGTCAAGTTGTGATAAATGTCAATAATTTCATTTTGAAATGTCTTGCTGGTATATATTGCGTTTTGAGCAGAAAAAGTAAGATGTTGTCTTAATTCATCATCTACTTCAGCACGGTATCGTAAAATCGCTCGAAAATTTCCCTCATTAGATATTGGATCTTTCTGCGAAGTTTCTGATTGCTTGATAAGTCGTCCATCATCTCTGTGCCCACGAAGTGCGATGCCTTGCTTGCCACACAAAATTATTGCTTTGACTATAGGCGTTAATTTTTTTATGGCATCATTCTTTGATTTTTCTGTTTATGTATCAAGTTGATCATCTATTGGTTTTTTTTCCACGTGCGATATCACGTAAATGTTCAACATCAAGCACGCATTTTTTATGATAATCAAGCTGCGCGTGGTTTTGAAACTCCTCTAGAGCCTTTTTCCAATTTTGGAAAGGTTTTTTAACTAATTTTCTTAACGCAGTTTCTTTTTTCCCACTATGTTCAACGCCGAGTGCCACACAATACATACAAAAATCACCATCATCTTTCGCAGAATATGCTAGCCAGTTAAAACGTGTAAACCAACTGTACTGAAATTTTAAATTTCTTGAACCTGATCTCGGAAACATAAATGTAGCAGGAGGTTTCCATACGTTTTCAACAATGTCCAAAATATTTTCCGGCTTTTGTTCAAACTGACATGCAATTCTTCCAATATCAAATTTTGAAATTACAGTATCAATTTTGACGAATTTCTCGCTATTTGAACTGCTAGAAGAAGCTGTTTCACTAACGAGATTATCAATCGGTATCGACTGAAAAAATAAAAAGCGGTATTCTGAGATTACATTTCATTCGAAATCATCAAAAGTAAACTATTTAAATTTTAAAATACTTATTTACTAAGAACTATGGTTTTAATAACTCAGAATATTAATTAATGTTAATTGTTCAACTATTGAAATCCACAGACATAATTTAGAGAATATTATATGTCTACGATATAATTAAATATTAAAATAAAATCACAATCTACACGTACTTAATTTTTAAAACTTTTAAATGAAAACGAACGAATAAATCAACAATATTAAGTTCCTGTATATATTTTATTAATTTAATAATTCAAAATTGTAATAAACAAAAATTGTATAGAACTTAAGTTCCCAATCAATAATTCTGTGAAATATTTAGTCAAATATTAATTTTTTACGTAATAACATTCTTAAAAGTTAAATAATTTGAATTGATGTTAGTAGTAAAATTATATAGAAATTAAAAAAAATAATTGTTTTCAGAAAAAGAGAAAACATATACAAATAAAATATACATAAACATCATTGTAAAACTAACAGATATTTTGCTTGTATAAAAATATGAAATTGACGAGTGAATTTCTTAGTTAGGTAGTACTCTGATTTAGAGACCTCTAAAAATATTTCGGATGGAATAAAATGCCTTTCCACCACTGAACGCATATTATCTTTTAGAAGAAATAAATAAAAATAAATTACACAATAGTTATAAGTATTTTTTGTGTACATAAATCTCGGATCTAATTATAAGGTATAAGAGTGCTGTAAATGTTCTACTGTTCTAGTATTCTATTTATTAAATAAGATAAACTTTGTATACTCACTGTAGTGCATACTTTTTTTGCATTATTCTGTTCACAAATATGACGATCAAAATAAAACAACAAGTTTCTTTTCATTACAATTATAATATAATAAATAGAATTAAAAAAAAAAAAAAAAAAATAAAACGTCAAAAACACTCTACTGTCGTTATAATAAAATACAAGTTCATTGCAGTTTTCGTGCACACGACCAATTAAATTGTTATCAGCCGATTATTTGATGTCGGCGAGCGTATAAGTTTAATTTATTTTTACTTCTTTTTGATATTCCGATTAAATCTGGTAATGTAATAATACGTATAATGTACACAATTCGTCAATCATTATAGAAACTTATCACAACAGACGTGTCACGTATCACGATAATATATAATATTATTATAAATGTTTTACACAAAATAGAAATAAATAATTAAATAGTAAATGAATAACATTTGTTTAGTATGATTTGTATAATTTATATACATATTATGATATATATATATATATATATATATATATTAATTATATTATACATATTTACTATTATAGTACCTACAAATAATATTATAAAATCGATAAATTTCATTTTTGAATGTGCACTATTGCATTAAAAAGTAAAAACCCTTGATCAGTCACTGACCACAATATTATAAATAATATCCAAGTGCCAAAGAAAATAATTTTCAAACCCCCCCCCATAAAAAAATCCTGGATCCGCCTCTGCTTGAATTAATACATTTTTTTATATAATAATTTTGTTTAAGGTAAGCAACGTAATAAATATAAGATATTATTACTACATCGCTGACTCACTGACATGTAACAATTTTATGATCCTTACTATAACCATTATCATGGACCTGTACTGTGATACTAATTATAAAAGATCATAACGATGATAACGAATATGTTTATTTTAGATTTTGAGTCTGAGCGAGGAATGTATTATAGCTTTGTACTGATGGTTCTTTTAATCAGCAAGCACACTTGGGTAGTGAATTTGCACGAAATTATTATGCAATAATATCTTAT